CTTCTGGACGCTGAGTTGTTACTTGTGAACGACGTGCTTGACATTTCAGATGATGTCTGTGTTGTTGGCGTTGTTGGTGTATCGGCGCGTTGGATGAAGTTTCTTATCTCCACGATTCTTTCTTTGATATCAATGACGTAGTTGTCTGCATCAAGAAATAGATTTTCGAACTCTGTTTCGTCGGCTCTTTTGAGAATTTCTTCATCCAGTGCTCTGATCTGCTCCAATCTTGATGTAATATCTTCGTGCGTTGCGATGAGAACGTCTTTTTCATGTTGCGTCAATGGGTCATCTTTGGACATGATGTCAATGGCTTTTTGTAACTGTCTCGTCATTTGAGCACGGTGTCCTCTTCTACTTGCAGAATGTTTAACTCGTTCTGCCATGTTTCTATGCGTTGTAGAATTTCCTCCAAAGTACGTTGATCCTGGTCTCGGCACCAAATGTGCGCATGGGCACGTGAGTTGAGTCGATTGCGGGTAGAAACTCGGAATAGAGAGATCGAGAAGACAAGTTCACCGTGCGGTAACAATAACTCAACTGTTTATTCGCTTCACTCGATTACATGTAAGTTACAATGAAACAACAAACAAACTACTAATAATAACACCGGGATGTGATTGGTTGAAATAACTGTGGGCATGGCAACAGCAGTGGGTGTCTAATTAGGTCAGACTAACAGTCTCCACAGAATGCAATTATGACTTGAGATGTTTACACAGGAAGTTCCACACTATATACTACTATACTTGTCTCGGCTTTGCACCATAAAAATCTTGTTTTTAGTGAACTGACTAAAGAAACGAAAAAAAAAAAATCCCCAGAGATTAACACTGTTGACAAAAAGACGAACACCTACCAGTACTTACCACACAGAAATGCCTAACAAAAATCAAAATCAAGATAACTATATTTCTTTACTTACTAATTATATATGCATACTTTCTGAATATGCATATTAACAACATTAAAGTGACATAACCCATGAAAATCTTTGTCAATCATGGAAAATTCACTATCATGACTTTTATATTTGTGTAAAGTTTGAGGATTTGTGATGACACATGGTTGTAATATCAGAAAGTACACAATAAATACAATTATGTTAGACCTTAAAAATACATTGAGGAAATCAACATTTTAAAATTATGAAAACATGCACTGTATGTATATACCACCTGTACCTGTCCCTAAGAACACAAGATGTGCATGTTTTCTTGGTATCATGTTGTGACAGGAAGTAGGATAAACAGATTAAAACTTTAATTCAATTCTTGGATTCTTATAGCTTATTAAATCTAAAAAAATACCACAGTTGCCTGTCTCTGTATTTTTAGATCTATGGTTTGACCACAGTTCATGTGATAGAGGGACTGTGGTTTGACAGTCTCTGATAAGCTAGTTTAACAACTTTGCTAGTTCTTTAGAAGCCACCATATGAAAATGTGTCATATGTACAAGTAATCCATTAATAACCCCCCATGCACCTAAAAAACCCCAGTAGAGATTCATGTGAGAAGATATTAGTTTTTCCTGGTTACACTGTTTTTCCTGATTGAGGCCGCTAGGAAGTGAAAGTTACTTCACATGAATAAATAGTTTAATTGTGAAACTAGTTTAATTGTGACTGGATAGTAAACAACAATCTTCATTTAATTTGTCACCTCACTTTTCTGACACAAGTTGTAAAACCACAAATAGAAAGTAAATATCGAAACACTTGTGATATAAAATAATGAAAGCTAGCCATTCATCCTACATGGTTTATAGCTCCATGATCCTAATAACATTTCCATTGATTTATATCATTGTACCGGTAAAACCATTAAATTAAATGTCTGTGTCAGGCATTATCAAAATATGGGCGTATTTAAGTGTGGCAGAATGAATATTTTGTAAATTCCGAGGAAAGACACATTTAAAACCCATCTTCAATGAAAGAGTGTAACTAAGTGTTGCATTAGTATATAGTTGACTATCAAATAGAATTTATTTTAAACTTGGACAAACCTCTGTAATTTACATAATTTAAGCACATGCAATAATACAGAGTCACAAGTACTAAGATAACACAATTACAATGATTGCTATTGGCAACCTTGGACCAGACTAAACATTTACTGTCAAGTATTTTATGTCTAAGAAACGAGATTAGTAAAATATGCAGTTAAACGCAAGTACAACTTAGCTGTGGATTGTTATCAACAACAGCAAGTCATGCATCGTTATACTGCAAGGTTGGCAAATATTAATTACAGAATTCTACACGATGGTTATTGTGTTTGTTAATGTTACATCCCCTGATTTTTTAATCTCTCTAATTTCACTGCTGAATTTTTAGCTCCGCTGTCGACTTTGTCAAGCGGAGCTTATCATATGAGTGATTGTCCGTCGTCTCCGTCGTCGTCGTCGTCCGTGTCAATGTTTTACTTTTTCGACTTCTTCTTGAAAACTACAAGCCTAAATGCTTTGATACATGGTGTATATGTACCTTGGTTAGACCTCTCTTAGGTTTGTTCATTTCATGTTGATATCTTTAATTCTCTAATTTTGGTGAATATTTTTGTCATTTTTGGTAAAAACTGATATTTTCGACTTCTTGTTAAAAACCGCAAGTGCAATTGCTTTGATATTACATTTATAGGTACTACATGTGGACCTCTCTCAGATTTGTTAATTTTGTAATGATATCTTTAATTCTTTAATTTTGGTGAATATTTTTGTCATTTTTGGTAAAAACTGATATTTTCGACTTCTTGTTAAAAACCGCAAGTCCAATTACTTTGATACTACATATATAGGTACTACATGTGGACCTCTCTCAAATTTGTTCATTTCGTGATGATATCTTCAATTCTCTAATTTTGGTGAATATTTTTGTCATTTTTGATAAAAACTGATATTTTCGACTTCTTGTTAAAAACCGCAAGTGCAATTGCTTTGATATTACATATATACATGTAGGTACTACATGTGGACCTCTCTCAGTTTTGTTCATTTTGTAATGATATCTTTAATTCTCTAATTTTGGTGAATATTTTTGTCATTTTTGGTAAAAACTGATATTTTCGACTTCTTGTTAAAAACCGCAAGTGCAATTGCTTTGATATTACTTATATAGGTACTACATGTGGACCTCTCTCAGATTTGTTCATTTTGTAATGATATCTTTAATTCTCTAATTTTGGTGAATATTTTTGTCATTTTTGGTAAAAACTGATATTTTCGACTTCTTGTTAAAAACCGCAAGTGCAAATGCTTTGATATTACATATATAGGTACTACATGTGTACCTCTCTCAGATTTGTTCATTTTGTAATGATATCTTTAATTCTCTAATTTTGGTGAATATTTTTGTCATTTTTTGGTGAAAAGTGATATTTTCACTTCTTGTTAAAA